GCAAACGTCCGATTTCATTGTCAGAGAGACTCAATCGTCTCAGTTTTGTTAACCGAAATAAGCCCTAAATTACACATTAAATCAAACCATTTTTTAAAACCTCAAAAGAATTTCAATCAAATAAATTAGTTTCAATAGCAAAAAGTTTTGTTTCAAAAAACTTTTAAAAAAGTAATAAAAACTCAATAATTAATTGCAATAAACAGATTGTAAGCGAGAAATATTTGTCTCATTACTAATACATAACATATAAAATAAATTAAACATTGCTTTCAATAAACGAAATATGATTTCATACAACTTTTTCCACTGAAAAACATATAGAAATCGTGAAATGAATGAACAAAAAGTTTGCGACAAATATTTTACGCTAATTAACAAATATTACAACTAATTATAGATAAATAGATAACAATACATGTTATATGAAATACAAACACATTTATGATTACAGGTAATCAGTGAATCAAGTGATAGACAAAAACATACAACAATTTTTACCACAAAATAGGCTTAACTAATGGTTGTGTTTGTAATCAACAGTTGAATCGATAAATATATTAACGCTAATAAAAGTTGCGTTTTTTGGCTGATTTTTATCTAAAAATGTGTCTAAAAATTGTGAAATAAACGTAAAACTGATGTGTTTTGCCACAAATTTATTATAAATTAAAAACTATTGACAGAAACACACGTCTCGTTAATTGTATGCATATTTAAAGGGCGGCCTAACACTAGCTATAACTATAAACCTAATAAAACTCAACTATAATTATCCTAAACTCACAATTCATATTGAATTGTGTATAAATTATACAATAACTATAAAACAATCAAAATTAACACTTCATATAACAGACAATTAGCTATAAATTTACACCAATTATAGCAAAATAACGGCTGAAATAAATGACACAAAACTCAAAAACAGAGGACTGAAGGGAAGAGAGATTTTAGCGACAAATACAGTAAATGAATGGTAGATATAATGTGAATGAATGGATGCATACCTTCGGGAGCTCTCGGATGTGATTGGCGTCGAGAAAGAGCTCTTCGAGAGTTCGGGTATATCTGAGGACATCGTCGGGAATGTTGGGTAAACTGCAGTGCCTTTTGTCGA